ATAATTTTACAAATTGATAAAATAGAGCATATAACTAGTTTTCAATATAAATATATATATGTAACTTTATATTAATATATTTTTTTTCGTAACTATTGCCTTGTTTGAATACTAATTAATTAGAACATTGGTTATAAATTTTATCAACATATCTTATATGTATATGATGATCAAAAGTAATAAATTACCTGCAATTACAAAACAATCGTGTTATTGATGCAATTCTTGGACGTGTGCCAGCTTTGTGACGCAGCAAAAATTCTTTAAAGTCCGGTTATGTTAGAGTTAGTTTACATAGTAAAATTGGTCAATGAAACTTTTTATTAGAGTATTAAAGGTGATTTCTTATGATTAGTGATCATAATTATTAATTATCAATGGACATGACAATTAATTTTTCTGATTCAGATTACACAGCTGTTCTCATAATTCTGAGACAGCTGATAAAAATTTGATTGAATTCGGTGTTATCGGATTACTGTAATGCCGAAAAACCAATTCCGATAACACCGAATTCAAATTTATCGAATTTGGCCAATGGCTATAATTCCGAATATAGAATAGAAAACCTGAAACATAACATATCGATATAGAATATATGGAAAACAAAATTCGACTACATACGTACGTAGTAATTTTTAGGTAGTCAAATATCTTGTCATTGAGCATATGCGCACACGCATATACGTACAATGAATCTATTTTATTTAGATTTGGCATGTTTTAGGTAATATTTTTTTTAAATTTAACCAATCAAATGAAATACTTGCATATGCAGGATAGACCGACTAGAAATCACTAATTAAATAAATTTATATTTAAAAAAATGAATTAGCCAGGGCGACCACGGGCTTATAAATAATGCACAATTTATTAATAATCGTACGTACGTTATTTGAAATGTCATCATGTGACCCGCACTTTTGGTGGTCGCCCTGGCGAATTTCATCTTTGACTACGTATAACACTTAAAAATCATTTTCTGCATCCAGATCAAATATAGTATAGAGAATCTGATTAATAAATTGATTATTAATCAATTAAGTTCTCTAATATGTATAATTTCCTAACCAACAAATTTCTTGAAAACTTTTTAGTCTAGTTCATATTTGCTCTAGAATTGCTTAAAAACGTTAGTTTTTTTAATAGAAAAATGCATTGATGACCTGCGATTTATGTTTTCTGGAAATCTGCATGACACTATGCTTATATAGGCACGTATCTGGTTTTACACCCTGCACATTATTTTAAAGATACCCCATTTAGAAAAACCATTTTTTCTGTTCCGAAATAACGCGCACATAATCATAGGGGTGCGTTATTTCGCGGATATAAGGAATTTTATTTTATGCGGAGCTTTTTATTTTATAATTTATTAACCACTATTAAAACTATTAGCCCTTTTTTTCCTTTGATCAGATTCCAAATATCACATAAGAATGATTTCCCACATCTAAAATCTAAGATTTTAACAAACACTTCTAATAACATGATTTTGTCAACTTTTCATCTCGTAATAAATAGATCAACAAACCTTTGCTCCCAAAATAATGTTTATAAATGCATTTTATTTCTAAACTTATTCACCACAATCAGACTATGCCATTCCCTATTTACTAAAATGAAATTGAATAAATTAATTTTTAATTACTATTTTTAAAAAATACGAAATATGATCTCAATATAGAGTTCATCCATCGCTAAGTTTCTATGTCGCTAATTCTCTCGTTATTCATTTTCATTAAACTAAATACTGTATAGTATAAGTGCGTAATCAGATCTCAACCGAAAGGTATCTCAAAACACACATCTGATTCCATCATTATAATCAATTATTATTCGAATCTTTTATCATTTCCTCATATATCGATATATTTCAACAGTAAATTTTCCATAGTAATTTTTCACTCGCTACGAAAAAAAGGTAGAATATTTCTTGGATTCTAAAAAAAAAAAAGTTTGAGATTTGCGGCTCATTTCATGCTTTCAAGTTTTCGTTCACAATATTAAAGTTAACTTCAAAGCAATATCAATTATGATCCTTAAAGCTTGTATCAAAAGAGTAATTGTAACACTAGAAACTGTATAACGATAGCTATGATACCTGTTTATATAAACAAATCGGAAATTCTAGTGCAATTTTGTCTTAAACGTGCACATGCATTAATTTAAAATATATGTATAACGGGCACATAATCTATAAAAGTAGTACACATGAATTACGTACCTAAGTATGTGCAAATAATGTTTTTAACCCGTAATCCAAATCAAAATAGCCTTAAGCTCACTTGAACTTTCTGAATTATTTGTAAAAATGTCAGCTCTTATAAATACACATAAACCTTATATACATTTCTTTCTGTTATTATTCGGTTTCGTTACAAAAAATTCATCAGCAAAAAAGCATCCAATAGAAAAAGAGAAAGAGAAAGAGAAAGAAAAAGGAAAAGAAAAAGGAAAAGAAAAAGGAAAAGACAGTTATATGAAAAATAAAGCTTTACATAAATGTATAAGTGAAAACAATCCATGTAAAAGAGTAAATGAATTATCAGCTCCATGTAATCAAACTTTACCTATTCCTACAGGCAAAGAGTCTACATACCAATTATCAAGTAAGTGTTCTTTAAGATATACAAATTTCGACATTCATTGTTCTCACTGATATATATTATACTATTGTTCTTTCTGGAAGCTGATGGAAATGGAAGTGCTTGTAATTGCAATCAATTGTATTATGATTCTTTAAGGTCATGTACTCACTGTATGGAAAGTCAAGATCATGAAGTGTTTATTCAACCATTAAATGAGTGGAAAAATGCTTGTAGTCAGTTGGGAACCAATTTTACTGAGTTTCCGTAAGCATTAAATTACCTCTGCGTGTATTAATAAAACGATTATTGATTCTGTTGAATTATAACTTCATTTTAAAAATAGGCCATCATATCTAATGCCATCATCTCAATTAGATGGTGGAAATTCGACTCAGATTATGTCCCTTTATGACGCTAATAATACCACCCTTGATATACTAATTGTAATCTGTGTGTTTGAAACCGTATTAATCATAACTGGAATTGGTTTTTGTATATTTTACCGACTGCGTCGTCATAAAAATAGTACTATTAAATCAAAAGAGCACGATAATTCAAAAACAAGCATGCTAAAAAATGATGTTTCAAGTACGCCAAATACTGAAAATCAACTAGATCAACAATTATTGTTTCAACAATTTTTACAATTTTTACAATTTCAGCAACAAATTCGTTCGCAAAGATTATTACATGATGAAATAACTCCAATTTGATATACTCTGCTTTATCATTAAAATTATTGTAATAAATTTTCTCTATAATTATTTTGCCATTAAATGGTTGAACTGAAAATGTAGATTTTATTAAACTTGTCTTAAAAATTGCCATATTCTTCTAATAGAGGTAATCGAAATTAAATTTGATGCTATATTAGAATTTAAATGCATTAAAATTTTTTTTTTTTTTTAATTTCATTTCTTACAAATACTTTTATACATTATTCTAGTTGTCAACTTTTATTTTTGAATCCTTTACTGATTCATTTTACAACTGGTTTTAATCTCTGATTAAAATTGTTTCTATATACCATTAATACAATTATATATAACAACATATCAAATTTTATAATTATATATAAAACAATATCAAAAAATTATAAAAAAATTTATTCATATATATAATATTATCTTGAAAACAATTTTACGTAATAATTTTAGTGCTATTGTATTAAATAATACAGAATAAATCTAGCATTATCTCACATATTGTACAACTTGCGCGAAATGCTTATGTGGAACTAATATATTCGCATAGTCAATCTACGAATAAATAGGATGCGTTAATTTTAAATGACATATTTTTTATTCATAGTGCCATAAAGAAAATTAATTACCTATATCATTCGTAGATCAGAGATGAACATTTATATGGTTACTTTCATTAAAATTCAGAAAAATTACAAGTTACCTATTCTCGAGCATTATGGTTGGCCAGTATTACACGTTATAAATTGATCATCCTTCTTGAATATTATGAATTAAACATTCTTAGATATATCCTTAATTGTTGTAAGTTGGATATTTCATTTGGTGTTTGTTTATAAAGACGGATTTTCAATATAATTTACCAATCATTAATATCAATCTAGTACGTCAAGAGTAGTGATTTGAACTGGTTAACCAATTGGGATTAGACCAGGTTCAGAATTCACCGACACACATTTCGTTGACAATCATGTAGTTAAAATTTTCGCTACTATTTCATCAGCCAATCAGATTTCAGGATCAGGCCTAACGCGCGAAAAATCAAAATAACCCCAAAAAATCAACATTTTACCTATGAAACTGTCTTCTACGCACTAATAAAAAGTTTTCCTTGCGAAATTTTGGTATCACGAAGCACTTTTTAATCCAATTTAATAGCAAACTCTAACCCTAATTTAGCTACAAAAATTTTTTTTGCCAAATTTTTTAATATAACACTAGTGTCTTACTGCTTATTCTTGCCGCTGAAAACTTATCACAATGATTTCAGCCGATAGTTTTCGCAATACTTGTATATTTTGTTTGACATCGTATTAGAACGATAGGTAAAAAAAAAAAAAACTTTGATTAAAATTGAATCCATTAAATTGCATTTTTTTTTTAAAAAAAGAAATACTAGGTTAGTGCACGAAAAAGCCGGTGCTAACTATAAATAAGACGATTACAACGACTTTAACCGGTTGACTTTGAAAATTTCGGCTCGGTTAATCGGGTGACGTTTTTTTTTTTATCGGGTTAAAACATTAGTTCAAGAGTTGATAGAATTTAAAAATGATGCATAACATAGTTTTAAAAGTCCTGGCATTACCATCAATTGAAGCGCTGTAATATGATCTTCCTACCTCATAACCGGGGTTTTTTTATGAGTTCATATTTCTCCTTTTTGAAAGTTTTTAAAGGAGAAATTTACCAATTAGTTTTCTTCTCCTTAA